AGGGGGTGCCTACAGGTCACCTAACACAGACCATTACTGTAGATCAAACTACGCCAGCTCCCCTCTCAGACTTGGGTTATGTAACAGAGCTGGGAATTTGAAATGGAGACACAAATGTCGGTCTAGAATAAAACCGATTCAAAATTGTGGCTCCGTGTATCTGTCATATTTATTTAAGGGTTTCTACTGAAAATCTTTTCGACGTAAAAGAAATATATGTAGTATTAAAGCATTTGCTTGTCTAGCACTATTGTCCCAGATTTCCAAAGTTAAGTAGTATTATCTGTCTATTTGCAATATTGGCAAATCTGTAAACAGTGCATGATTATATGTAATAGGTTCTTCTCTCTTAATTAAATGATGTCACTAGTTACCGCTATTCTCATCTTCTTGTTTCTTTTAAACTTTGTTGTCTGTAATTTTCTTGCCATGGCACCATTATCACAGTGAACTATAGTGTCTTTCCATGAGCACATCACAATGTTGAAGCTCAGTTAAAAGAGGTCTCGTACATGCCATGTTGAATTAGAAAGGTCTTAGTACCCGAAAAAAAATTTTTCTAGAGTTTTCCTTTTTACACAAATCCCAAGATATGTTCTGTTTCTTCAACATGGTTTCCAGGCCCCAAACTTGGAATTTTTTTGTAAAAAGTTTGTAATGGTGGAAAATTAAACAGGAAATAGGAACCTCTGTGGCTAGTCATGGAGCCATTTCTCTTTCCCAGCCATGCCTGGTGATTCACTGCTCCTTCTTCTAGGGACCTGGGCAATGTTGTGTCACATGGAAAGGTTGAGTTGATGTCTGCACCCTTCCTCTCACAGGATAATACCTCTTAGTCACCCCCGTCTGTCGGGTATCAGTCTAGCGTTTTTTTCCTCCCCCCAACAATTTATACTGAATGTGATTTGTCAGTATTAAATTCTCCCGCAGAGTATTTACATTTGAAGTCTTAATTACAACTGTGGAAAGATTTCCCCATTTTTTGTTTAAAACAATTTCAGGTATCACTGAGCAGGCGGATAATATATTTTGGGATAGAAACACTTTTAGATAGCGCTGAAATTTTGTCAGTTAAGGACTGGCTTACTCACTCATTCACCATCCGAAGGGAGAGTCCAGTCATTAGAAAAAACATTAAATATGAAAGCCAAGCATAGGTAAATGATTCCATCCAAAGTACCCCAGCTTTAATAAGACAATTTATCTGAATTTCTCAGTAGACTTGGATCCTTATTAAATGGCATAAAGTGGGTGAGGTGTTCTGTTGCAGTAAGAAATATGTTCTAACATAGAGATTGAGAGAAAACAATTGTTCTAAGCAGAACTGAATTGGTGATATGGCATGATGCTTTAAAAAGGGAATTTTATTGTATTTTGCAAATCCAGCCTCACTGTTGGTTGTTCTTTCATTTCCATTCCATTATTTGTTCAATCATATTGTGGCGTGGGCAGGCAAATCG